TAGCGCAGTACTGATTCTCTGAGCTCACAGCTGAGAGGCTCAGGGAGAGAAGTGTCAGTTATTCTCAGCCCCTGTGGTCACAGACAAATCTGTGGATGCACCGAGCAGAAAGCTGCAGTGGAGTGCGGCTCTCACACTCTCACAGATACATACAGTGACACCAAGTCAGTGCAGCAAAGACACGTTTTCACAGCACAAGAGCCAATAAAGTTCCAGTGCTGTGTTTCATGATGCTTCAGGTGACTGTAACACTCTACCTGCTTTTTCCTGTAGAAGCCACGAGTGTCACAGTTGGGTATATAGATGTCACGGTCGGACTGGAAGATTGTCAGCTCGAGACCCCTCAGGACACTATTGAGCAGCTTGCGGCAGGGTGCCTGAAAACAGCAACGCAGAGTGTGACTTCAAACATCCCCAGAGGCAAATACAGAGAACCTGTCTTCATGTAAAGAGTGGCAGTGGCAAGCTGCGGTCTCCCCTCAGGTGAAATCCTCTTTGATCACAACACATGCGGATGTGAATCACAAAGGATTAGCTACAGTGATGCAGCATTAGAGCCAGAAGCAGAGAATATGTATATTTATATATATATGTATCAGATGCCACATATTGTATAACATTATATAACCATATTGTTACACAATGCATTTGGCTTTTCAGGTCATTGAATGGTTTGAAGTGACTGTGCGTTTTTTTTTTTTTTTTTTGTCTTGTGTCACTTTGTAAAATCAAACAGTGTCATCTCGATCAATTATGTGACTATTGTTGCTCCCACAATAACACACATATTAGTTCAAATGCTGCAGATCACCCGGCTCGCAAAGTGAAAAATCTGTGGCGGCAGCGGCCCGACTTGAAACTTTCCTGATTCACATCATGCTCAATTAGTTCTGCCGCATAGCAGCACACACATCATGCACCATAATGCATGGCTTCAGGGCAGAGTGTGTGTACATGCCACTGCAACACCCCAAACAGCAGAGGATCTGTGGTAATAACGCTCTATAACACAATGCAGCTTGTATGATGTGTATTAATGCAACCTTGTTACATAAAATGCTTTATGCAGCTCAGAATTTTGATCGTTTAGGTGACGATCCATTAACTTCACTTCATTAAAGACTGTAAAATAAGAGCATGAACTTACTCTTTCAATGTCACCACTGTGTGAGGGATGGGGACCTGAGAGGAAATGACACACCGGCATGAGAATGTGACATTAAACCATCGTAGTTATTAACATCAAACCACATCCAATGTCACATTTTACAATATATGCTGCATATATAATATTTAGACTTTGCTATCTATCTTTGCGTGTTTTTTGCACAAGACACTACTCAGCAGTCGTTCAGATGAGATCTATCTGGGGTGGTCATTCAACGAGAGACCTAATTTCCATCAGTATATTTCCCTTTCAGATAGTTAATCGCAGTATCTCAGTTTGAACAGTAGATGGAGATCACTGCAATAAAAAGCAGCTTGATCAGGATGTAGGTGACACTGTGACAGTTTCACATTCATTCTGAATTCTCTACAGAGAGGCTGACTTGTAGGACAGATCATTGTCATGCACCCTGTCACTGAAATTAATGAAATATATTACACTTTACATATAAATGCAGGGGTAATCACCCTCACTTACACACTGTTGCAACACCCCGAGACTACATAAAAGGTCCTTGTTGTTTGTGCTTTGCCATCATTTGTGATGAACAAATCACAGTCCTTTACAATGGGACTGTAATGCCAAATGACATTTTTATCACAGTGACTCCAGAGGCAGTGCTGAGCAGTATTGGATGCTAGAGGTTTGCAAATTCATCTGTGGTGCACAAAATGCATCCAGGCTTAAATGTCACACACTAATTGGCCTTTCTTTTTGTTTGGCGAGTGACACAGCATCACATGCAATTCACAGCAATACAGGAGACACACTGTAAATACAATTGTGTGTGGTGCCTGTGCCACTGCACACGTCTAACCTACCTGCAGTGTCCATGCATGTGTCTGTGTGCATCTGAAGGCGCATGCATGTACGTGTGCATACGTGATTTCATGCACGTGTGTGTGTATACAGTATCTTACCTGTGGGGTGGGGCCTCTCGGTGGGACTTGTCCTGCTGTGCTTGGCGCAAATGCCCCTTCCCTGCAACAGAGCCTGGAGGGGGCTGTGCTCCCTTGGTGGGGGAACACAGCGGAGCCCCTTGGCACAGCTCAGGGTGTACACACCACAGGGCTCTCCCTGGGCCAACACTGACGTGCTGCCGGCAACATTATGGTCCCTGGGGGGCCGACCTGCCCCCAGTGGATCCCTGCAGGAGGGACAGACCTTGAAGGGGCCCAAGCGGTTTGCCCCGGTCCATGATCCACAGTGAGCAATCAGCAACAAAACAACGGTTGTTAAGTTAGAAAGGATAGGCATTTTCTGTCCAGGTCTCAGGTTCTCCACTCTGTCACTCTCTGTCAGTTAAATGTGGCTGAGGCTATTTCTGGATGTATATTTCTCCCTCTCTCTCCCTTTCTCTCCCCTTTCCTCAGTCTTCTTCCCGTTTCTATACAGTAGCTTTCCTTGGTGCTTTTGCCGGTTGAGTCCCCTGCAGTGCCAGAGGAGACAAATGGAGATCGAGAGAGACACAGCAAAGCACCAGCTTTTAAAGATCTGAAAGGCGGTGATAGAGAGTGAGTGAGTGAGAGAGAGAGAGAGAGAGAGAGAGAGAGAGAGAGAGAGAAAGAGAGAGAGCACAGTTATGACACCTTCAGGGGCTGGGACTCAGAGAGAGAGAGAGAGAGAGAGAGAGAGAGAGAGGGAGAGAGAGAGAGAGAGAGAGAGAGAGGGAGGTGGCAGGGAGGGAGAGAGCAAGTGGGGGGTGGATTATGTTCCTTTCAGAAATTATCAAAATCTCTCCACCCTTTCCTGTTATATACTAACATATACATCTCGCCCTTCTTCTTACATTACAAGTGCATACAGTAGTGGTCATGTTCAGCTTTTTTTTGCACTTTCTTTCCAATGTCAGAGACCTTTCTGGAATTATATTTGCCATGGTAACAAATACAAATGTATATGTGCCTCCATCAGCCTCGCCACTGCAATGCCATTCGCGACAATAAACGCACAGCTGTGGGATTTCTCCTGCTTAGATTCTGTATGAGCTTATGACTTATGAATATTTCCTGTACAAACCTGATTCTGCAGCTGAGTCCAACACCTGAGATACTCAAATTACAGAAACACACAGCACATGTCAAAGTTAATGAGTTGTATTTAAAATAAATCAATCAGTGAGGGAATTAAGCGAGCGACCTCCTGACAGCGCTTCAGAAATGTGAGTCTATTATTAGTTAGTTTATTACAGACATGTATTGCATTGCCTCTACAAGAGGGCTAATCCAGTCTTTTATAAGACTTCTAGATTACATTTCAGCAGCTATCAGATATTAACTGACTTCATGGACCACTTCACATGTTGAAGTGTGAGGGCAGTGAAGGCTATTGCTCACCAGTTGTTTGAATTGGAAGAGTAATCATCTGGATAATTAGGAGGAGGTGGGGGAGGACTCATTTTTGCAGGAATGCACGTCGACCAGCCGTCAGCTGCTAATAATGCAATCCATCGCTCCACTCAGCCAGTCAGGATTTTCCATCTTTCAAAAGATCACAACTGAGTCCTTCGCCCTTCTACTCAACACTTGATCCTGCCATTCCAGACACGATTGAGTTCTGTAAGGTGAATTCTGCTGGATTAATACAGGCTATTTGGTGTGTGTTAAATGATGTTGGTATGCAAAAAGTAACTTTGTGGCTACTGTAGTTAAAATACTTCAGTAACCTGTGAAGTATTCTGTAGTCTGCACTCATATGTAAGCCTTAAATTCAGTGAGATACTTTTACTTTTAACTGAATAAGTTAGAGAAGTGTCTCGTATTATAAACACAATAAGATCTAAGGTATCTGCAATGCTATTCTGTCCACACAGCACAACATGACACTGCAGGGACACACACGCACATACAGTGTGTGTAAAGAAAAAACGAAATTGAAAGTCAGGGACCTGCACATGAGGATTGGAGGAGGCTGGCGGCAGGTAGAGTGAATTCCTCTCTTATCTAGAGTCCCACTGTCTCCTGTGTTATCTGACGTTGCCTTGCTGCCACGGACAGATGCAACGTGAACATGATATTCACAGAGCGCTCGCACAATTTGGGATGTTAACGCAACAAAGGCTCTGATGGCATTCGTGCGACCTTTAAAAGAAGCAGGACGTACACAACATGTGCTGTGTGCAGAGTGGCAGTAGTCGTAGAGACATGACAGAGCACACGGACATGTCCACTGGCCTGTGCTGGAATTCGGGGCTATATGAGGCCAAAATCTGCTCTGCCATCAGCAGCCTGTTGTTCTGATTAATCTTGGCACGGGGGGGCAGAAATCACCTGCCGTCTTGTGTTCCCATCAGCTCGCGAGCTACAGCACTAGTCTGTTTCCACATATCAGGAGAATGTTCCAACACACTCGCCAGACCAACGGGGGCTCTCTTTTCCACACTGCGCTGGGTTATTCATTTTCCCCCCCCTCCAGCCGCACAGCTTCTTCCTCCTCTCCGCCTCCCCAGCTCAGGTCTATCCCAGCTGGCTCTGGAAGTCTCCCAGCTGCCACTTGTGCTTTCAACACAGCAACCGGAATCCACATAAACCCTGTGGTGGGACGCTGCTCGGCCCCCCCGGCGAGTAAAATACACTGACATACTTCAAGATCTTTGTTGTGATGTGTCAGTTTATTCTCATGAAACACACAGTTAACAGAGGTATGGGGGGGGTTTTCATTAAGATGAGATATAGAAATTATTCCCATCATTTTTTAAATGTGGTTAAATTTCCCTTTTCTTTGCACCCAAAGTCCAAACAGCGCACACACGATTCCAGGGACCTGATTGGTCGAACGCTCGTCACCGTTTCTCAAAAGGCGCGCTGCGATTGGCCGCGCGGTGTGACGTCACTGGGAAGCGCCTAACTCTTAGTTTCCCAAAGTTTTAACGCGAAGCTAACGGACGGCTAACGGACGGCTAACGGACAACTGACGGACAACTGACGGACGGCTGATGGACAGACGTGAGTTCCCGCCTCAGTAGCCGCCTAGACAACAGGTAAGCGATCGACTCATCGATTATAGGAGCTGAAACTGATCGATATCCTGTCCGCCTCGTCATCAGCCTCAAGCAGGGAAGCTAACACGTTAGCCGCTAATGAACGCTAGCTCATGGATTAGCTTCCCCCCCCCCCCCCACCCCCGTCACCAACTGACACGTGTTTAAACTGTGGTTTAATGCACGCTCAGCCTTTGTACCAAATAACAACAACAACAACAACAACAACAACAATAATAATAATAAAACAAGTGTCGCTGCTAGCTGCTAGCTGCTAGCTGCAGGATGTAAACAGTGACACGCCCACTTATCAACATCTGGAAACACATCTGCGTCATCAGGGCGACGACACACGGTCAGGGGCGTTATGACGCGCGTGTTACGTCCTCACGACGTCACCCAACGTCACTGACCGTCTTCCCGCCACCGATCAGATCATGTGTATTGATTATGGCAGCTCCATCGGTGGGTTGATATTGATTACAGAGAGCGGGGCTGTTTGGAACTAAAATTAGATTTTATTCACTAAAAATTAAATTTGTGATGAAAACAATAATCACAGTTTAGAGAGGCAGGGAGTTAATGTCCGATACACAGCGATCACAATATCGATCAATAATATCACAATGTGATCTGTGGACCTGTTTAATGATAACATCACATTTATTATCAAAGCATGTTTTAATGATAAACTACAAAAGATCAATAAACCTCTAAAGATGAGTAGAAACAATATGGATTACAGTAGGATGAGTATAATCTGTCGTATGTTTTTATATATATATATATTTATATATATATATATTATATTATATTATATATTATTATATATATATATATTTATATATATATATTTATATATATATATAATAATAAGTTTATATCTGTACTAACTCCAGATTCATTCACACTCACACTGAACATTATTAGTTGCAGTCCTAAATGTATCAGAGATTTACTTTACCAAAGGTAATTAATATTAATTAATTAAACAAATATAATCACGATCCAGAGAACTGTCTCAGAAATGATCACAGTTTTTATGGTATAAAGTGTTACAGTGTTATTATCATCAGTTACAGTTTAAAGGAATAAAAACAAAAGGCTTTTTTTTATAGTTGAACAAATGCTTTATTATAATTACACACATGTTTCTGTCTTTTAATAACAATAATATGGTAGAATTCAACCATACATTGTCATACTACGATGTTCCACCGTTATACCACTGCAACCGAAACCGCAATGAACAGTAGACCGTCTGTAGTTTTTACCTTTTTTAAAACATCTGTAACAAGAACTTCTTCATTGTAGCCGCGAGATAAATGAAACTCCTTACGAGGAAGAATCGGGAGCACACGTATGAGAGGAACTTGGTAGTTGGTTCGTTGTTATGAAACTGATTCAGCTTCCTCCGAGCTGTGGTTTTTTTTTTTAAATCTCTAAGACAACAAACAGCCTGCTGAATTTATTTTAAAGTTCCTCCTTTTCCCACCCTCTCATTTTCTCCATTCAGATGGACGACATCAACGTACTACACCACAGATGCCTCCTGAATTTGAGGCGTCGAATCAGAGATATCGGGGATGGACGTCCAGCACAGGAACGATATATGAGGTTGCAGAAGGATGGAGACACACTCAGGTCAGTGACTTTGCGTCTGTGTTTGATTGTGTTTCTCTGCCTGCTTATTATAATGACTTGCACTATTTGTGTGTGTTATTGTTTATTACACATTTATAAAGCCTTGAAATCATTGGATGTAGTTCTTTCTCATTCTTACGGGCCCTTTATATTGACTTTATTGATCCTACAATGGGGAAATCTTCTTGTTACAGCACAATAGATACAAAAATACACATTAAATGAAAATGTAAAAGGAAAAATATGAGTTATATGTACACTGTATAAACCTTTTTATACATATATGTGATTGATGGGGGAAAGGAAAAGCCTCTTACCCTCTTTTTCCCAAATTAAATCTGTATCCAGTCCACTTAACAAAGTCAGTATCTGCACTGAAACGATCTGAGGGACCGGATCGGTGCATTCCTAGCTAGGGCTAGGCAGTCTTTGGGCCCATGAGAAGAACAAGTGAGTTTATATCCTTTTTTATTATATTCTTTCTCCTCTGTTTTCTCAAATAATAACACTAATTCATAACAGAGGTAAAAGATGGAAGACGGACAGCTTGAGGAGCATAGTGTCTGTATTTGTTTTACCTTCCGCGTTTAAAGGGTCTACTTCTTCTTACAATGAATTTAAAAACAATCAATGGAGGCTCGTCTAGGTCAGCAAGATGTGAAACGCACAGGAACATCTCTTTTGTTTGAATGTAAACCTCAGAGGTCTGAACTCACCATGTAGTTTTCATGGTTCCCACGCACCCTGGAAAACCTGGAAATTAGAGAATAGTTTTTTTTTACAGTCTTGGAAAAAACACCTGCAAATTGATTAAAAGGACAAAATATCCTGGAAATAATCAGTGTTGTCCTGCACGCTGTGATACTTCAAAGGCTCATAGCGATCTTTTCGGCGTCGAGTCATCGATGTTAACTGTATTCACATCGCCGGAGACCGCAGTGGAAAAATCTGCTTTAGTGGGAAAAGACAAGACCGGCACGAAAGCGAGCTAACACAGATTGTCCCGTAAACACTGACCACCTACCTGTAATGAACCTGAGACGATTTCATTAAGGAGGAATAAACCTGAGGGTTAAATGTGTCAGTACTAGGCCTACCATTAAATTATATGACCGTTTGGGAGCAAGTGCTGTCCTGTAAGAAAACTCCTGGAAAATGATTTCTTAAAAACAGTAGAAACCCTGAGTTTTGTTCTTTGTAATAACCTGTGAATGTCATTACTTTTTCTAAAGATGTTGGTTTGATTCAGCTGCTTCAAACTGCGTAAAACAACTTTACATTGCTGATGGGAAGCTTCATAAGCTCCAGCAGCTCTCAGGAAAACCTTGCACATCTCCGGTTTTTCCCTTCATTTTACAAAACGTCCCTTCTCATATAAAGCTTGCGATCATCACATCTTCTAAAACAGTAATAGCCAATAATCATGTTCATTCAATTTGATGTATCTTTCCATAATCATCTGGCTTAAACAGCGGCTCTGTTTTCCGTGGCACATGTCCGTGCATGTGATTACACTGATGGCGTCCCTTTGATCAACAGATGGGGTTGTTCTTCGAGATGTGTTTCTGATTGTGCATACAGCAGTCTGACCTAATAGAAGTCACCTAACCTGTAATTTCTTTCTCTTTAGTTACCAAGGGAACTCTGAAGAGGTGGGTTGCTATGTGGCTGGCCATCCTTTATCAAAGGGAAATTGCTACTTCGAGGTAAGGCTCATTCATAGCGTAGCTGTAAGTCAGCATCTCACATTGTTATTGTGACTGTTAGCTCTCCAAGATAATCTCTTGTGCCTCATCAGTCGACATGATCTCCACCGACTGCTACCTGTGTTACTGTTGGGTGTATGGTAATCATTAGAAAATAAGCAGACTGTTGATCCTTTGCACAATTATTCATTTTTAAAAGTCACAATATGATAGGCTTACCACATACCATCGTCCCTGTGCGTGCCCAAGATTGCTTTACCATCCAGCCAGCAATTTTATCCCCTGGAATCCCATTGCTGACAATTTTCTCAACTTCATATTAAATTCTGTGTGCCCCCCTACAGTCCCAGTTCAACAGTGCAAAACCACTACCTCAAAAATGTCCTAGCTGCATTGGAATGAGGGCTAAGGGTGTGGGTTAGGTGGTATCTTTGAGCACAAAGATTAGTCTAACACACTGTGTTTTTCAGCAGACTGGCAGGCAGACTGACAGCAGGAGAAACTATTGGATGTTCATTTAGCTGATCTGAGGTGCCCCTATGTATCAGAGAGTTTTCATACATACAGAAGAGCACGAGGGGGAAGGAAAAAAAACAAGTATTTTGGTGATTTAGCACAGGAAAGTTGCAAGAGTTCAGTCGTAAATTACGTGCAGAGGGCTGCAGTGTGTTATTTATGAGCCTGCTTGTTTGTGGATGGTGCACGTCAGAGCAGGCCTCATGACGTGTGGTCAAGAGACGGCAGGTGAGGCAGACATACTTCCTCGTCTGGGGTTTTTGGGCTTCAAGAGGAATCATTGGGCTATACATTATCCTGTGAAACCTACGTCATTCTAGCTGAGCTGCAAATAGAGCCAGACAGGACCCTGCAGCATCAGAGTCTCGTGGCTTATAGCGAGCTCTCCTGTAAATGATTTACTTCTTCCGCTATTCTTTTCGCATTTTTTTTTTTTTTAAGATGAGAAGCACCACTTTGGACATACGTTGAAACATTTCAGATCAGCTTCAGTGCGATTTTAAAAACAGGCCGATAAATGTGCTTTGACATTATGTGTTGTGGCTGTGAGGTGTCCCTGATTTGTGCCAGATGTGACATTTCTTTTAAATGTAATGGCAAACTCTCATCTGACCTCCAGATCGGTCTCTCTCTCTCTCTCTCTCTCCTCCCTAGCAAGGAAAGCTTAAAGATAACAATGTTTGTATTTAATGAGAATAACATTTGGAGCCTGATAGATCTCTGTGACATTTAAACAAGTGGATTTTACTGTGGTCATTACCCAGAGTTTATGCTACATTATTCTCCACTCTGTGACGCACATGCTGTCAGTTTCCCAGATATCTCTAAAATTCGGGAGCGTTTATTCTGACAAAGGTCAGGCTTCTGTTGACGTATGCGTCACTGCTATCCTCGTGTTTCTCCTCGTTCTGCTTTCACAAGGAATCCGCTCCAGCTCTCTCACTGCTGCTGCACTTTCTCCAGTTCTTCGTCATCCGTCTTCTTCTTCAAGCCGAGCTGAACATCTGCAACATTCCACTTGTTTTAATAGATTTATTTGAAATTCATATCAGCATAACTTAACGGCTCATCAGCAGGCAGATTCCTGCTCTTTCCTCAGCTCACATGTTTTTGTAACTTAGTTATATCACACAGACACAAATAATATTGAAACGGTTTTAAGTGTGGAAGTGGGAACCTGTCAGGGCCAAGAATTTAGTTTTTAACAAAGCAGGGGCTATAGAGTATTATCCTTAAAGTGCCAGACTGGAAAGGATTCGGGTCTGGAATTTTTTTGTCTTGGAAACCCAAGAAGTTTTGGTTTTGTGCTGGTAGCCTTCATGCAGGAGCAGTGATTTGGGGGTCTGGGCTGAAGAGGGAGGTAGAGAATGAGGGAGCCAGGTAAGTGGGGAAGGGGGTAAAATACATGCAAGGAATGATAGAGAGGAAGGAAATTTAGAGGGATGAGAAAGGACTTGGAGCGGTCACCGATATAGGAGAGGAACAAATTCAGACCCTCACCGGATGGGGCTATTCTCCTGTGTTTGGCTGCATTACCTTTCACCTAATTCTGCTTGGTAGTGTGTGTGTGTGTCATTCTGCACTGATTGGGTTTAGATAGCAGGCTGTCGTTACATCTGCAGGGAGGTGGGGGGGTGGTTTCCCCTGCTCTGCTCTAGGGATGTAACATTTAATGCTACGATGATTGTGGCCAAAAATATCACAGTAAACGATGTTATCACATTAGGATAATCGTGAATGTCCTCATGAAAGCTCGCTAACCTGCAGTCTTATGTTGATCAATTGAGCATTTTGGTTGGTTTGTTTGTTTGTTTGTTTTGTACCGAACCCAACAAATGTCACATCGTTTTTCTTCCGGAGAAACTTTGTGATGCAAAAATGAGAATTCCCACTAATGAATCATATCGCAATCAATTTGTCGAAATAAATTGCAATTTGATTATTAGTTTTTCTACCATATTGTGGATCCCTTCCCCACAGCTCAGTGTTCACAGTGTCCCCTAAAAACGCTGTTAATCACAGTAATGATGTTTATAGGAATTATTGGCGTCAGAATGCTGCACCATGGTATGTAGTAAAATGGTATAACGACGCATCTCGTCTCTGCACAGCTGCATGGTTGTGCTGCTAGTCAGACTCTAGCCGGACAGACTGAGGGGTAAGAAAGGCTCGAGAGTTTTTAATTGAGGGTTCTCACAGTATTAGGGTGCTTCTCTGTTAAATTCATGCTATTAAAGAAAAACCTTTCATGTTGTCGTGTAGCTAACTAGTGCCACAGTTGTGCTTACTGTCTGTGTGTGTTTGTGTGTTCGTGTGTAGGTGACAATAGTGGACACAGGGGTGAGGGGGACCATTGCTGTGGGCCTGGTGCCTAAATTCTACAGGCTGGACCACCAGCCTGGCTGGCTGCCATACTCTGTAGCTTACCACGCTGACAACGGCAAGTAAGTGAAACCACAGCCGTCTGTACTGTACAGTGCAGCATTGGCTTCTTCCATGGTTTCAGTAAATGGATTGTGGCCTGTTGATGCTGCATCCACACACAAATGCTACAGTGATTCCCTGGGTTATTCTCCTCAGCAAAAGATTATTTATATTATGGATTCATTTGTTGATTTATTTTTATTTTTTTATGGATCATTTAGTCTATAAATTAATAGTAGTAGACTATAGTGTAGTGTAGTGTTTAACGAGTAGTTCAAAACCCAAAGAAAGCAGCAGATCCTCATAACTGAGGACCTGGAACAATGAATGTTTAGCTTTTCTGCTTGATAAATGACTTTTATATTCTACAGATATCGAAAACACAAACAGGAAGCTAACTAATGACAGTTGTTGACTTGTTCTGCTTGTGCAGTATCTCTGAAGCTGCTGTAGTTATATTTTTGAGAAGGTGCATATCTTTTACAGTGTGGCCTACACATGCAGAAGTATAGATTCAGATTTAAGGTCAATCAGATACGGTTTTTGAGTTACTTGGAACCAGCAAATAATTTGAGTTATACAAAGAATGAAATGTTTATTTCATTAGCAGTTACTGAATAGCATTTATTTTATAAAGATTTCTATGTCTTCATTCTTCCTAGGTTATATAATGGCAACCCTGTGGGACAGCAGTTTGGGCCAAAGTGTGCTCGTGGTGACCGTATAGGCTGTGGAATACACTCAGAAAACATTGAAGCAGGCTTTACAACGGTCTTTTTCACCAAAAATGGCAAAGAGGTAGGCGTTGGTAATGCATCATTACATAAACACAAACATGCGCTATCAGAAGTATCCATATGTGCAGCGTGGTGTCGTGGTTTCTTTACACTCCTCTCACATGCAGGTTGGTTCGGTGGAAGTTCCCGTGTCTGCAGAGGGACTGTTCCCCGCCGTGGGGATGCACTCCATGGGCGAGGAGGTGAAGGTTGACCTGCAGGCTGAGTGGCTCCTGGAGGAAGATGATAGTATGATGATGGTGGACAGCCACGAAGATGACTGGGGGCGGCTTTATGATGTCAGGGTGAGCGGCACGGTAAGTCCTTATTGTTTTCCTCCTGTTTAAAGGAATACTCCAACCCGAGATGTTTGCGTGGGTTGAGATCAGAAATAACTGTTCTGTGCAGTATCTAGAATAGCATATATGATCATGCTGCTCCCAACACTAACGGTGTTCCCACACATCCTGGAAAATCTGGAAAACCTGGAAATTTAGAGGCTAGTTTTCCAGTCATGGAAATGCCTAGAAACTGATTTAAAATGGCCAAATATCCTGTAAATTAACTATGTTGTCCTGGAAACACTTGGATGCGTATTTAGTTTGAAACTCAACTGTTAGGTAGGATAATCTTCCACTGTGACTTTTCAAAGATATTTTACCAGACACTAATCAGAAAAATGCTCCTCTTGTCCATTTGGAAATACTGTAGTTGCTGCAAGTGACAATTATTTGAATCATCAATGTGTCTGTTCGAGCTGCCCGCTAAACGACCGTGATTCAAATCATCGGTCAAGAAAAAACCCCCAAGTGGAATCTCATTTTGGCGAATCATTGCATATTTTAAAAGAGGAGTCATTGTACACAGAGCAACGCAGGATAACAGCACAGCAGACTGAACAGTGACCAGGACACACAGTGAGAGTTCAGTGTGTGCTGTGCCTGGGTGGAGGCCATGATTAATATATCTCTATAGGGATAATAAGCGAACCAGTCTGTGTTTTCTACTACAAGACTGCTGGTGTTCCCGGTCTGGGACGCCCTCTCGTCTTAAAAAACAAACCCTGAATATGACGTGCAGTTGTGGCGGTGGCTTGCCATCCCCTGCAGTTAGCTTGCCAATAGCGCGGTATTTAATTATTGCGGTTATCGCGACAGCCCTAAATGTAATAGCAGAGCCCAAAATTAATTGCTTACCCAATTCAGAGCAGTAGCCAAACAAACTGTTCATTCATGTGGGACAGAAAAGTAAACAAATCTCACATTACTTACATTTTTGAGGGCGTACCACTTAAAGATCAAGCCTATATATATATATTAGTATTTAGCATACTTGTACATTAGTGGTTGAAATAAGTGCTAACTGGTTTCTTGCTTTTGTCGTGATGTGAACACTGAGTCGATGTATTTTGTGTGTTTTTCTAGCATATGTATATATTGAATGGGACAGATTACAGTGTGGCTTTTCTGCTGTTTGTACTTCTGCGTGGTTGTTGCCGGTTCCTCGTGTTTGCATTGTACTCTTTACAAGATCCTTCAATTGCCTGTTCTTAAGCAAATCCCTCTCTGTTGACAACTCTACTTAATGCTCGCTAGAATTCAGGGAAAGCACATTCTTGAATTTGAATTGTTTTGTCTCCGCTGTTGCCGGATCTTGCTGTGACTGGATCTGGGTCACCTTCAGAGTGTTATTGCAGATTGCTTCATGACATCAGCTCAGGGATTTTCCTCCACGATCTGTAGAAAACTGGTTCAGTAACAAGATAAACAGCAGACTTCCAGTGAAAGACGTCTGTTTCGTTCCATCTTTGCTACATGAGAGTTGGGGATTATGCAACAGTTTGGCAAATCTGTTTCCAAAGCACACAAGCAGTGTAATACACCAATTTATTTATCTACAGATAAAAATCCAGATAAATCGGGGATTGAGATCTTCATACTCGTCTTATGCAAGGTGCCTCCTTCTGCTTTTGGTTGCCGGATGTGGCACATTATAATCATTTTAATTGCAGTATAGTCATAACAGTCCCATGTTATTATACCCCAATTAAACTTGTTTCACATAACTAATTTATTTTGGTTTTCTCATATTTTCTGTCAGTCAAACATGCCCACACATATATTAACAGGGTTCCCACGCATCCTGGAAAAGCTGGAAAGTTATACACTAGTTTTCCACTCATGAAAAAAACCTGGAAATTGATTAAAGTGACCAAATATCCTCGAAATATTCTTATGTTGTCCTGGAGATTTTTTATTGTATTTAAAACATAAACATAAAGATTACCAGACACGAAGCGGACTTGCAGCGATCTTTTTGACGTCAAGTCTAATTTTTCTGCAGCCGTGAACGTAATTCTGAGGGAAGGTCAGTGGAAATGGTATATATCATATCTACATGCAGATTTGTTGCTGTGGTTGATGAATACATGCACAGCGATGTTAATTGTACATGCAACAATCACTTTCTTTCTAGAAGATGAATTTTCTCTAAAATAGAGTAAATTCTACTTTGATTACTTTGATACTTTGAAGAGGTAGAACAGAACTGTAGTCAATTTGCTGGAAACCGCTCCGCTGAGACCGCGGCGGAAACATAGTGAGAACAGCCATGTGCGTCACAAAAGTGTCAAGCCAAGCCAAGTGTCCAATAAACGCTGACCACCTACGAGGGCTACCGGTAAATTATATGACTATTTGTGAGCAAGTGCTGTCCTGTAATGTCAAGAAAGCTCCTGGAAAATGTCCTGAAATGGTCCTGGAAAATTATGTGGGAATCCTGATTTAAGAATGCAAATTTTGTCTTCTGAGGGACAGAAGTGCTCCAAAATAAGCTGACAGACACACATATGACATATCACATGATGGCAAATATGCAACACAACAACATTAACATCCCATTAAAGTCCTCTCTATGGCCACCTGATCAATATAAGTCAAGTGTTTTTTGGTTTTTTGTCTCCACCATTTTTTACTAGCAGGATATTTTACTTATTTATTTTATTTTCAGCTTGTTGCTGCAGCTGCTGGTGGATGAGACTGAACTATACAGTTAATCTGTAGGATGTAAAACCAAAACACAGAGCTGAAGGAGAATAAAAAGTGTGACCTAATATAAAAATCGGAATCAATTCAGCTTTAATGGTGATGGACTCTGCTTGTGGTCAGATTTCTCATCTACAATGTATTTAAAACAGCAGGTTAAATGTGGCTGTGCTGTATTGAACTGCATTATAGTGTAAGGTGTTTATAATATTGTGTCCACCTGATGTACATATATGGAGGAGGAAATAATTAGAAACATCAGCGTGATTTAATACAAGCAGCACATACTCAATAGAGTTGGATCCAGTCATCATCAGACACAGTGCCAACTATAAATCATATGTTTCATAAAGGTAGTATTACAAGACTCTGGTATTGGGTTGCATTATAGTCTACTGGGTTTTTTATTGTTCTGTTCATTCTGTGTAATTACCTCCTGCAAGCCTGATCAGGTTTGTAGTTTCTCTCAGCTGTGTCCGCTCAGAGCAGCTTTTGATCTGGAGATGCAGCAAGTGAGGTAAGACTCAAACAGCTTTTTGTTCTGTCTTCACAACCTGATTCTCTCTGTTATTTAAGAATGAAAGAATGAGAAACGTTGGTGTCCGTTGCGCTCCCGCTGTAGTGCTCTTTGTTTCACCTCTCCAGGGTTTGATTAGTTTGACTCCGCTGTGATTCAGTCTCTGTGTCGGTGCTGAGCTTTGGGTTGTTTAGTGATGACAAGTTCTTACGCATTTATTTTTCAATTCATTGAGAATTTCCAGAGTAAACGGGTGTGACAGCATCACTTCCATTACTGTGGACAGAACATTATGTGGAGTGGACAGAGAATATCTTTTTAAATCTGTATAATACAGGAGTCTTACTGTGACCCAAAGGACATTGACACAAAGGACAATATTATCTTGGTCCAGAAGGTCAGAGGATATTGAGGCGTTGTATGCTGTACAGATTTTAAAGCCGTTCTAGCCAGTTTTTTGATTTTGTCTTATATAAATAAGATGCACTGGCACAATTGGTCAACTTGCATCTCCTCAAATATGTAACTACACATCAGGGTGTGCACAGAGGGTGATACCACATCTACGGTGACCACAAGAACTGTGATTTCTCAGCTTGAGACACTCGGGAGGAGTTTCAGTTTTTCTCCTAAATGTTTCTGATTTAATGCTGAATACAATAATTTACAGTGACAGTGTATTGTGATCTGTCAAAGTCATTTTCATTGCAAACTGTCTGTCAGCTGTTGCTCTTCTCTCCCTCAGAGTGAATGAAAGAATGTCTGAAGTCTTCTGGGTGTATAATTTAATCGTGACACGTGACGCACTAGTGTTGCAGTGGTGCTATCTATGGGTAAAATCAGATGCTGAACTACGAGACCTGGATAATTTTGGTGCTTTAGGCAAACTCTCAATCAGCTTTTTTTTTGTTGGTTTTTGGCATTTTGCTTTATTTGACAGGACAGTCAGAGAGAGAAGGGATGACGTGCAGCTAAAGGCCTTGGGCTGTGGTACGTCCTCTACCCGGTGAGCTGCCGGAGCGCCCCTCTCAATACGCTGTCAGTTCAGTTTGCGTGTAAATTGTACAACAAATGTTCTGGGTGAGCTTTTATGAAACCAATATATATATTTTTTTTGCCTAATTGTTGATAATTGAAAGTCACACCGCATTAAATCTTAGCAGTTCTTGTTCCTGATTACTGATGAACTTTACAGCAAGCACTTTGACATAGGAAAAGTACAAGGTTACTAATAACATTAACAAAGACTAATTCAATTAATAAGCTCAACAATCCTTCTGTCTTCTGTAGAACAGCTTGTAGATGACACAATAATTGGAAAAGAAACTATATATTAGTAGAAGAAAAACAGGGATACACCACAATACACACAATTGTGATGACTGTAGGTATTTTGCAACCACTTTATCGGATGCTTTGTGGGACATTTCACCACTTCCAGCGGATGAGAAAAAGATGTTTGTGATTCACATATCTGTGGAAAGAGAAGCTGTGAGTAATACGCCAGAGGAGGGGAGACAGCGTCAATGTTGTAGACCATCAGTCTCACAGTCTGCACTGTGAAGATTTCATATATTAACAAAGCTAGTCGACTCATCCACTAACAACCTAGCAGGCTCTCTGTGACCTGCTGAGTGCTAATGTCAAACCTGTCAGCACCTGTCTATGTTCCCTAGATAAAGTAGTGGCAGCCATTCCAGTAGGGTGAAGGCCGTCCGCTCTCAGCAGCCAGCGGTTGGGTGAAATAAGCCTACTG